TTAGGTTATTTGGATAAATGTCAATGGAATTTTTTTTCCCCGAACCAAATGAAGTTAATTTCTAAATTAATTATATTTTTTTTTTTTTTTTTTTTTTTTATAAAGGATGAAATATTTTAAATAATTAAAAATCATTAAATTTTACATATGCTCCTGTACCCGCTCACAGAGCGAGAGACAGGGGGGCGGGGTGTCACACACACACACACACACACACACACACAGATACACACGCACGCGCACGCGCGTATATGCACACACAGAGATATACACGCACGCGCACACATGCCACACAGAGATACACGCGCACGCGCGCGCGCACACACACGCACACACAGAGAAACCGAGTAAACTGGATTTAATTAATTTTTTAATGAAACTGAGACAATTATTTTATTGGTTAATATTATTATTTGAGGATTTCGAGTAGAAAAGATATCAAATTTTTTAAGTCTATGGCTGATTTGCTTTTAATTTGGGTAATGGGTCAGTTAGGCAGATAACCATTAAATGTTATTCGATAAGATAAGGAAAATATTATTTGATAAAACATCGCTCCAGTAGCTGAAACATTGTATGTTCCATACATTATTGTGATGCTCTAAACTAATATTCGATGATATTGCAAATACGATGAGACGCTAAATTTAACAAGTGAATAGAATTTAAAATTCCAACCCTCGCCAGTCTCCCGAATCGAGATCTCCCTTGAGAATCTTGATAAAATGCATCGTGAATAGACTTGGGTTTACAAATATAACGGCGTCAATTAAAAGTCGTCCGCCAATAATGCGCCATCGGCGAGATAAGACACCATCGCCAAATGATGATAGTGGCGGATAGGCGGACGGTAAGACCGAGCGCTTCGATCTATATAGTTAGCATTGCGGGTGGCCCTAGAAAAATTGCATTCAGGGCCATTCAGGCTGGCGTTCTCTCTCTCTCTCTCTCTCTCTCTCTCTCTCTCTCTCTCTATTCTCGTTGACAGTAGCGCTTATTTTTAGTTTTAACCAATTCAGCTGGATTAAAGCGACCTTTCGTCCGCGAAATATTCATCTGTACCTCAAGCTCGCGAAAGGTCGCGGGAGCTCGCGAAAGCTCGGCTTCTGCCGGGCGAGGCGGGGAACGGTTGCTGTGGATGGTCGGGTGGGGTGGCCGACGGCGAAGCAGTTAGTTCACTCGGTAATAGAGGCAAAGCCGGCGGTACGTACACGGTCCCGAGACACGTTATGTCACAGAATCGCGCGCACCCTCGTGCCGACAGCAGCAGCTTCGTCGGCTCGTACCAACGGGATTCCTCGAATCCTCGTGTCACGGCATTTGACATGCGGCGCGGCGAGTCGAGGCGCTTTTGAGACTTGCTGCTCGCGACACTCGAAGCTTTACAAAGCCGGCTGAGCTTGGTTTCGCCTCCTTCTCCACGTGCTTGCGCTGCCACGCTCCATCTCGCTCGCACTCACCAGTCCCCCGTCTTGTTTACCAATGCCACTTGCCGTGGGCTGAGCTGCTTACCTGGTGGTACGTACCATACCTTGACATTGTCGACAGACGACGCCTTTAACGGACGATACGCGATTTTTAATCGAATAAATAATGACCGCCTCGAATTCATACCCCTTTGATTTGTTTTGGTTTATATAAAAAGTAAAAAAACAAAAACAAAAACAAAAAACTGGTTCAATCTGTGCTTAAGCTGCGTTTATCAATTGGCATAGGCAATGTTCGCGTTAGTTAAAGCAAAAACAGATAATTTTAATTAATTTTCTATGTAAATGGGGTCATGGGAGCTATATTATCTTATTTTAAAACAATTTTGAAATTTTATCGCTAAGGTTGCATTAAAGATTTCAGAAATTTTACTTTGGCCAATAATGAATAGCCGTTGCAAATGTGTTTATTCAATGAGATTATTACTCGTCTAATTTCATCTCATCTCATTTACAAAATAATAAACAACTAATATTTCGCTCAATATGTATTTCAATATTCCATAAAAATTACTATCTTTTTAAAAATAAAAGACAAATTATATATAATCGTCGTTGTTATAGTAGGCGTCTAAATTTAATAAAATAATACTAAATAAAGTTTTATTATCGTATGAAAATATATAAATATTTATAAATATTACATTTATACGTCATTTATTTTTAATACAATTTATATTCATCTATGTAGATCCACTAAATCATGTATCATATATTAAATCATATTTGATAAACGTTACCTTTCCAACAGCATTGGCAATATTTTCATACTAGAGCAATGATTAAAAGTTATTAATTATTATTGTATTTAGAATGTCGGCAAATGGTCTCCTTACTTTTAATTAAAAGTTATATGTAATTAAAATCGCCGGAGTAAGCAATTTTTATATACGAACTTCAATTTTGCATATTATCATGTTCCTTAAGGATAATAAATTACTTAATATTCGTAAAGACCAATATTTTACACTATGCTCAGTTTATTCATATATTATTGTAATTTTGTAAAATTTACATCTATAAATAGTTGCAGATACGCGTCATTATAAACAAACAAACATGCAATAATGTACAAAATATATTGACTTCATATTTATCACATCTTCAACTTTGTACAATTTTAAAGTTAAAATTATAAATAAAGTTTCAAATGTCCATTTCACTGCACAATAATTAAAATAATTCATTTTCATGAAATACAATTAGAAAATAATGGACGTTATATGGTCTTTCCTCTATTAAAAAAATTTAATAATAAATTTCCTTTTTTTCAGCTTATGCATATATATATATATATATATATATATATATATATATCGAAGATTTTCATACAAAAATATGGATGAACTTTTTACATAACACTATACTTATCTATAAAGTCTATGATAATTCTATGAAATCGAGTGTTCATCTATTAGTATCTGTCGATGAATCGTAATTTTTTTTATGCTAAAAATGCTTATAAAAGTTAATAAAATAAAATGACGAGGTATGCAGTTTACAATATGTAATTAAATATATAACCTTTCTGTAATGCGTGTACAAATACCATTTTAATGTCTTAAATATAATGAGTTGCCGGATAATTGCATCGATCGATCGATTAACTGCACTGTAAAGTATTTATTAAATGATTTTAGAGTATTTTGCAATCGATCGGTTCCAAATACAGGTATAATTCTTTTAACGCACGCATATACATAAACAGGCATAGACCTACGAGCAGGTAATTTATACTATATTATCAAGAATAAAACTATCGACTTCAATTGTAATTCTATATTTATAATAATTTGGTAGGTTTGGAAAATGTCGCAGTTAGTCTTAGGAATAGATGTAGGTACAACGTCTGTCAAAGTCGTAATTGTTCAAAAGCAGACTCAAGCCATTTTAGCCAATCAATCAAAGGACACGCAGGCTAACGTTCCAAGTGATTTGGGAATTGAAGGGAATAAACAGGATGTGCCAAAGATACTCTCGGCTCTCCATAATTGCTTATCTCGCCTCCCAAAAGACCTACTACGACAGGTATCGATTTACAGTTTTTCCAGATAATTTTATTTACTCGAGGAATGTGCCATGTATTGAAGAATAAAAATACTTGTGTATATTGCATGAATGTTTCAATGAAAAGTTTAATTAAAGCAATACTCGTTACAATGTACCACTTAATTGTAATTAATTATAATTAATTTTGACCACAATTTTGAAAATAATTATAATTATATGTGGATCTATGTAAATCAAACGTATTAACGCTATTCTCTCGAGTCCGAATACATTCAATATTCCTTTCCTTTTCGGGGATTCATTTATTCATAAAAATGAATTAGTTTATTATCAAGTGAATTATAAAGATCAAATAATTTATAATGATATTTATGAATAATGTACGTCGAGATTGGTAGAAATGTACGCATAAGCCTTGCTTTATAGGTTGGAAGTATTGGCATATGTGGCCAAATGCACGGTGTTACGCTATGGAAATTACCAAACGAATGTTCCTATAAAGAAAATGGAGAATTTAAGCTTGACATCGATAAAGATAAAGTGTCGAATTTGTATACATGGCAAGATGGGCGTTGCGACACTGACTTTTTAAAGTCTTTGCCAAAATCGAAAAGCCATCTAGCCGTTCATACTGGTTACGGCTGTGCCACACTATTTTGGTTTGCCAAAAACAAGTTAGTACAGTGCAGTAATTGTATTTTTCACAATCAGTGCCCATTCTCTTATCTTAAGGCTATCGATCATTAATATAATTCTAGTGGTGCGACACTCTTGTTTGCATCCTACCGAGCTCACAATTAAACTTGAATTAACTTTTTCATGGGTAGGCCAGAGAAATTAAAAAAATATGATAAATGCGGCACGATGCAGGATTTGGTAGTTAGCCTACTATCCGCAAACGACGATGTTAAAATGAGTACTCAGAACGCGGCCAGTTGGGGATACTTTTTAACGGAGACAAATCAATGGGATAACGATGCATTATCGTCCGGTGGCTTTCCTTTCCATCTTCTGCCCGCCGAGATCCTAATGCCCGGGCAAACAGCCGGGACTTTGGCTCACACCTGGTTTGGAATACCTGCCGGCACCACAATAGGTCATTTATCTTCTGTACTTACTTACTTACTCATTAACTTTATTCGCAGAAAACAATTATTGCGCGAAACATTTCTATTTCTTCGGTGATAATGTACGTTGCTCTCGAGGCCCATAAGTGAGACGATAAAAAATGGAAAATCAACAGGGTTTCTTTAACAACTATTTAACCTTACCATTACGTCCTATATATCGTCTGTTTTATGTCTTGCACTTTTAAAATGAAATTATTATTATTATTTGTTTGTTTTTTAACTTTTCGAATATTAGAAGAGTGTATCTAAAGTTTTTGAAAGTATCGTAAAAGAAATTGGTAAATCCGGTATTTTTCTAAGTCTTCTGCTCACTCTTTAACTCAAAATAATCTCTTCAAATGATCATTAAATTATTTATTAATATCTTTAATTTTATCGATTGTATGCTGTAAAAAGAGTGCCGATTTTGTTAAAGTTTTATCTACTTTGTCAAAGTTCGCTTATATGAAACAGTCTAAAAATGTTATTCGCATTAAAATCTCACGCTCAATGTTTCAAATCGCGAACTTTATAATGAATATTTTATAATTTTATGCTTAGGAGTTGCTCTAGGGGACTTGCAAAGTTCAGTATTTGCGCTATTAAAACAACCAACCGACGCCGTTCTCAACATTTCAACCTCAGCTCAACTCGCCTTCGTGCGCCCGACATTCAAGCCAGAAACCAATAGCGAATTACGTAAGATTTTTTAAATATAGTATTTTAGTTTTGCTATTTTTAAATTAAAGTTAATTAATCCAAATAAAACATAACAGAGAAAATAGAGTATTTTCCGTACTTTGGAGACAAGTATTTGGCTGTAGCGGCATCTTTAAACGGGGGAAATACATTAGCCACATTCGTAAAATCTTTACAGCAATGGACACTAGAATTGGGTTTCTCAGTTCCTCAATGTATGCATTTACCATGATTATTATTAATATAAGATAATAGTAATTATATAAATATTTTATGCGATCATTCAAAATGCTTTGTCATCTGTAATTCCTTCATTAAAATTGCAAAATCGCCCTAATTTTACTCCATAAATCTAGTAATTTTTACGCTATGTAGCATGTAATATTCGCCTTGCAACATTCAATTCAATTAGAGTATTTTCACTTTCACAATTGATTTTCCACTGTTGATAATTTTATTTTTATAATTCAATGTAAACAGTATTCATTTTCATTAATAGCCAAAGTCTGGAATAAATTAATCGCTCTCGGTACTGATGACTCTTCAATCAGTGATATGACAATAATTCCAACATTATTAGGAGAACGTTACGATCCAGATCAAACAGCCAGCGTTACTGGCATAACACTCGACACTTTAAATCTGGGAAATATATTCCGAGCTTTATGCTCAGGAATCATAAAGAATCTTCACGAGTAAGTGACTCTTACTTTTTTAAGACAATAAAAATCTTGTTTTCCAAAAATTTCTTAGAAATTAATTAATCATCTTTGCTGAAGCTGTTCTTTTCTTGTCGCTTATTTGAGTTATAAATATGTCTACTGTACGTCAATAGCGTGATTATAGGATTGTGCTTATTTAAGAAATTTGCACATGCTTTTGCACATTTGGTTAAAGCGACAATAAAGCGATTATTTGAAAAAATATAACTTTATCTTTGGAAATAAAGAAAATAATAATATAATTGCTTTGGCAGTAGGATTAAGATAATAACTAAGCCTTGATATAAAATTGTAAAAAAAAAGAAAAAACGTATCAAAGATACGTAACAACTATTATTCGAATTCTGATGCAACAAATATGTATAGATTTTATTATAAATAAAATTTTGTTTTAAAAGCTTATGAAGGATAAAGTAATTTATGTCATATATATATGTATATATATATATATATATATATATATATATATATATAAGCATTTATTTAGAACTTTTATATAAATTAAAATGAAAAAAAAATAATAATAATAATAAGAAGAAGATTAGTGCCAAAATCACGTAATCATTAATACGAAGAATGAATTCCTAAAAGCACTTAATTTTAATCTCGATTTGATAAGAGCGGCTGATAGCGCAATAACTTCAAACGTTTGACGCATTTATCGACCGATATATTACAATGGATAAAAGCATTCGGGGATCTTAATTACGATTTGTATTTTCAGCATGATATCGAGAGACGAACTAAAGTCTGCGGGAATCACTCGCATTGTTGGTAATGGCTCGGGACTCGTTCGTAATCCCGTGTTACAAAAGGAGGTGTCGCACTGGTACAACTTACCCTTGGAATTTGGAAACACCGGGGATGCGGCTCTTGGGGCAGCTCTTGCAACTATCGAGAGCAACTTGGATCGCTAATTTAACGATAATTTAACGATAAAATTCAGATAGAATAGGGTTTTTCGTACGACATATTAACTTACATTTAAAGTCTGTGTGGTAGTTTGCAGATAAAAGGAATTAGAAATGATAGATTAACATTTATTATTGCATATAAATTTTTTAAAAACAATTTGTGATAAATTATTGCTCCATTAGCATGAATTTTGAGTTATGAAGATGATTATGGCAAAATGTTAGATGATAGACGAAATTATGCTATGTGGTCACCTAAGTATTGATATACATTCTCGTACATACCAATTTACAAAACTAAAAATTATAGGTTTTTTTTTTTCTTTTTTTTTTTTATGTACTTATAATACATAATTGCAATATTTTTAATAACGAAGCTCTTGAAATGATGAATTGTTTAGATTTGATCATTATTTTGTTCTATTCGTAAAAGTAAAGGCTGCTTGCTATGTAAATTTAAATATTAAAAAAAAGAAATTAATTACAGTGGCTTTTGATCTTGCACGTATAAAAGAAATAAATTCGATTTTATTTTAGGCATTGTTACATTTATTTTTATATTACAATCTTTTATTAATTAATATTATGGTCATTTAAAATAACAATCGTCAACATTGGTAAAAATTTAAATTGGCCCATTATGAAAATTTATTTATAAAAAAAAAAACAAAAAAAATTAGTCATTATAATGCTGTTATTTAGATGACCACTTATTTTTAGAATTTTTGAAAAACAAAGGTTCATTTGATAATGTTAAAAATGAAAATAATTTTTTATCCAAGTAGGTAATGCATACTAGTACTATTGTATTAATTTTATAATTTAATATGTACATTTGTAAATTAGTAGATTGAAAAAATTCTGTTATTAATTTTTCTACTTAAATGCATGTCATTTTTCAAAATCCAAATAAGTATTCATTATATGTAACGCATGCAATGTTTGATTTACGTTTGTAGACAAAATGTTAATAAGTCTTCGAATTACAAACGAAAGTGAGACATTACATAATAAACTCTATTTTACGAATATGTTATTGACTCATAATAATTTCAATACAATCACTTATAAATTAAAAAAATTTACAATATATTTTTTTATTTCATTTTTTAAAAATATAAAATAAACTTGTTATATCTTTAAGGTCAGAGGTAATTAGATATTAATACAAAATGAATATAATGGACGAGTCTTTTGATGGGTTAATTTTAATATATTTTATGCGCATTTATTGCATGAATACCCTGCATGTTTTTTAATGTAATAAAAGATAGTAAGGCACAATTTAATTATTAATATATTTATTATATTTTCCGAATCGAACATCTAATAAAGGAAATTTACTTAATTTAACTGTATTTTTCATGTAAAAATATTATATTATTGCATATTTTTCTTTGTCGTATTTGTCTTTAGATTATAATGAACTTTGAATTGTGTAGATATTGTCTTTGTTATGATAATTAATGAAATATAGTAGTGATGATATTAATACAATGATTAATAAATCAATCTCAAAAGATCAAATATTTCAAGTAATAAATGTTCTCTGCTAAATTCCTTCCACACAATTACGATGTTTTTGTATATTAAAAAAGATAATAAATTTATTAAAATTATGCTTATTTTATTATTTATATTTTGAAAAATAGGAAAACATTAGTTAAAGGGAAAAAAATGTTTCATTTTACAGACGCCTGTGATATATAATATTGCTTAAAAGATTTAAATCTTTTCTTTTTATATACTTCATAATTGTAATAAAAAAAATTATACAAAACGATTGTAATTCAGGTTTTCTTGATTTTAAAAAATTTACATTTTTTATATATTGATACGAGAGCTTCATTTGAAAATTATAAAGCACAAATAGAATAAATAGCAATATCGCAGCAGTCATATAATATTATATAAATAATAAATTTGTAAACGAATTATTAATAAGTCGTTATTATTTTAGTATGTTTATTAAATTCTTATACCATTAAACTTGTACGTACGTTAAGATATTGAAATGAATGAAAATAGCATAGACATATTTATTCATAATCCTTATAGAATTGTATCGTGTAAATTATTCTTTACTAGTAAATACTGGTTTAAAACTGGAAAATTTATGATCGAGTTTCTAATACGATTAATGTTATAATGATTAAAGCCAAATATTTATATTATTTATTGTGTGTGTGTGTGTGTGTGTGTGTGTGTGTGTGTGTGAAATAAATCATATTAATAACTGATCATTAAATAGATAGAATTTTAGAAAATATGATAATTCATTTTATTATCTTCAATTATTAATCAACTATTAGTCCTATTAAAATAAATTTAATTAACATAAAATATTTACGCCTTAATAGTCATACAAACTTAGTTTATACTGAATGGTCACAACATAAAAACATCAGTTTTATACTCGCTTAAATTGATGCTGCGCAACATATTCAATGATAAAAAAATTTCCGATACTCTCGAGACTTGTGGTTTTATTAACTTTAAGATAAAAGACTACTATATTGGTTTATACCTAGAGTGCTAGAAGATCAAAACACAAGTCAATGTTCACGATTCCATCGCCAAACTGTCGCATCGTCGCACACACACAGTAATACCGAGCCGTCTCTGCTTAAACTCGTCTGTCTAATTGGGGCGGTGCATCTTGGATGCTGAAGTGAAAAGCATCTCGCTTGACCAGGCTCTTCCACTTCTAGATCCCATACGTAAGTGCGGCCCACTTGGTTACCTAACGCAATGGTTCTTTGCCAAAAGTCCATAGAAAACCTTATGAACCATATGTCGCATTCTTTGAATTCAAAACGATGTAGGACGGTAGCGCTGGTCTCGTTGTTGCGTAGCTGCGAATCCTCAAGCCGGCCAGGTTTCCAGCATACAATGCAATTTTCACAACTTTTGCTTAAGATAAAGTCGCCGAACCACTTCACGCAATCGACGTAATTGCGATGGACATCACGGGTTGTAAAGTCTGGAAAGTGCTGAAGCACGGAATCGAAGGGACGAGCATTTCGTGTTGGATTGCAATGGTAGGATTGCTTGACGGCTTCTTGCATATCAGGCTTGTCGAGACTCCAAAGCTTCAATGCGTGATCCATACCACAGGAGATAATTCGGCTGCCCTTCATGTCAAAGTCAGCGCTCAGCACTTCATCACGGTGACCCTCGACACCTCCAAATATTGCAATGCACACATCGGTTTTAATGTTCCACAAACGCAATGCATGATCTTTCGAAGCAGACAGAAGAATATTAGGATCACGGGGATGGATCTTGAGTTCGTTTATAGCATGACCGTGGCCAATATAATGTTTGATGCAGGTCATCGTTACTGGGCTGATGACACGAATAACACCCCTGGAGCCGGCCACAGCCAATAGAGGTTTACCCGACTCGTCGTACGTCCAAGCACACGTGTAGAAATTCTCCTCTGTATCTGGATCAGCATAGCACTGCCTCAGTCTTATATTACCCTCCTCTGGACATTCATAAATACTAACTCGATTACTACCTACTGAAGCGAATACCATGGGTTCCTCTTCCTTAAGATAATGATTGAACTGTACACCAAAGAGAGGCTGTCCGTGATCTTCCTTGACGCTACAGCAATATTTGTAAAGAGATTTGTCGGTATTCTGTTTAGCTTTGGCTGTCTTGCTCCTACGGCGTCCTTTTCTTTTGAAGCGAGCTGTTCTAGTTGGTGTATCGCTGCGATGAGTCCCTGCTGTAGAATTGCTACCGATGCTGCACTCCGTTTCGTCACTATCATTTTCACTGTCTTCTTGACTCGAAGCATAAGCTTGTGATTTTGTCGAGTGTCTCTTCATTCTTAAAAATATCGATAAATGGACAAATGTTGGGTAATTTTAAAGAATACTTAACAAGTTTAAGTCAGGAATTCCACTGTGAATGCCCATCAATGCTTCCGACAGATTAAAAATTCTGTCTCCCAAACTCTTAAGACCTTCACAGTTCTGTAAAACAACAAATATATTGATAACGTTAAATTATAATTGTATATCACAACATAAACTCAACATATTCATTTATTATGAATATATAATTATAATTTTAAAACTTAATAGTCAAAAGAATTCAATAAAAATTATTTCATCCGTTTGTAACTGAATTAGGAATGAAAATTTCAATATAAATGCAAGAAGTCATTTTACATATTTAATCATAAAAATAGATCAAAAATTTTTGCACAATATTAATAAAAACGTGTAATAAATTTGTTTTATTGTTTGTAATGACGATTAATCTATCTACAAACTCCAAACGATCGTTTGTCCATGCATCAATCAATATATTTTAGAAGCGTTCAAAATTTTATTATAAACTTGGAAATCATACATAGACATTTGCTGATATCAGTCGAAGGCAGTATTTGTCTCGTAACCTATTTGCAGTGTGACCTATTAGTCCCATATTATTTGGCAAATCATAACAATTGACTAAGCAAATTCGTCCAGAGATTACAAAAAATTCATCCAGGAGATTAATGCCCCTTTCCACCTAAACAAAAAAGCGGTTGTTTTTACAACATAACCTATATGTGGCGTAGCTAAATCAACTACTAAGCAATAAACTTTATTGACAGAAAAATGATATTAAGACTTTGTTAAAAAAGAAAAAAGAAAGAAAACAGAAGGTAGAAACAGTTATTTACTTCGTTGACGCGTTGACTAATTCTTCCATCAAATGCAAATATAATAAAATCTATTTGTAAATCCGGTTTCGAGCGAAGGATATCATAAATACACTCGCATTTATGTACGGCGATCCGGTATTTTCTGATTTTTGACGTAGTCTCGAGAGCCTCAAAAATTTTATCACACAATTGTCCAGTTGCAACTATCTACGAATGAATGGCAAATAATAATAAATAATAATAAATAAACGAAGGAATGTAAAGGAACTTACGAGGAAAGATATTACGGAGTCAACATTCCATGTGCCGCAGCTTCCCAGAACTCCCGCCATTATTTGGAATATAAAAAGACGCGTCTACTTGCTACGCATGCACTTGGACTCTAATGCCATGACATTTCCATTTCTATCCAATTCCTTTCTTAACACAGTATTATTTACGTCATTGTTATTGTCGTTTTACTTTGGAAAAATGAGAGATAAATGGCAACAGTGTTATTCTTGTTGTTTATATTTTCTAGGTTCTCCTCTTCAATGAATAAAGCTTTCCATAGTTTTATAATGGGAAATGTTTGTTAACTTATATTTCATCTTAGTTCTATGTGATAATTAAGGATTCCTAGATCTCAGGATATATTTCGTAAAGAATATTACGGATTGTAGGTATTATTTGTTAATGAGAATTTTTTCAATGAAATACGTCTAAATTTGTCCATTATTTTTTGTTATTGATGACGAGACGGATGACACATTAAAAATATTAATCATAAATAAAACGAAATTTGTTATTGCTTTTCATTATTCATTTTCTAATTATTGTGTGTTAAAATATTTAATTTTTCCATACAAGAAATTAAAAACAGCTTTAAACTTTAGAGACTTTAACTTATGTAATGTTTTTAAATTTCGTATTGGGAATGTTTTCGATGTCATTTACTTTTTAAATTTTTTTAATACAATAAGGAAAACATTGTTAAATATCTAAAATAATGCACATAATTAACGCCAAACTCTCAAATATGGTTTCTCTTCGTGATCTCTATATTTATTAATTAACAATTTAAGATCTTTTCACTAATTCTGTTAACTTTATTCTTATTTTATATTGAATTGAATTAAAAATTCCTTACAAGTTATTTTATATTGTGTATACATTTCATGATTCTTATATTATAAACAAAATTAGAATTAACTATAACAAATTAAACAAAATCCATTCGATTATGGCTGTGAAAAATTTTGAAAACTGGGCTCTCGAACGAATACTTGGATCTGGACAATTTAGTGAAGTGGAATTGTGGAAAGAAAAATATACAAATAAAAAGATTGGTTTGTTAAATGTACAATAATTAACTTTTACATTTTATAAATACCTAATTTGTGATACGAACTTTACAGTTATAAAGAAGTTTCTTTTGTTCAACGTCAATGGAAAATCCAAAGAAATTGAACGTTTTGAAAAAGAATTAGATAAATTTAAACGTTTGAATCATCCAAATATTGTTAAATCTCTCCTGATTCCTATAGAATTTAAATCTGATTCATCGGTGCTGTGTATGGAATTCTGTAATAAAGGAGATTTACGAAAAGTAGGAACATGGCAAATTTATTCGTACAATTTGTGTCTATGTTATGAAAACATCTTCATAATCTATAAAACTCAAACTATAATAATATAACGGATAACAACGATTAAAGTTTTAAATCCTTTTCATTTTATTAAATTTATTGTTATGGATTTGAAGCATATTTGCATTTTAATTTAAAATAACTTTTTCAACATAGATTCTAAATAAACCAGAAAATGCATGTGGATTAATATACAAAGACGTATTATCAATCATGAAAGATATTTCATCATCTCTTAAATATTTACATGACAAGAATATAATACATTGCAATATTAAACCTGAAAATATTGTACTTCACGAATTAAATGGAATGGTAAATTATTCTAACAATAATAATATGATAAATTAACAAATTTATTAACTTCTGTGGTGTATAAATTTACAGATTATTTATAAATTAATAGATCTTGGATATCATATAAAATGTAAAAACATTATAGCATCAGCGGACGAAATTCATGCTTACGATGCTCCTGAAATTTTTTCCGATAACAAATATACTTGTTCTATTGATTATTGGAGTATAGGAATACTATTTTTTATAGTTTTAACTGGTTATAATCCTTTTGTAATATCAAACTCATTGACATGGTAAATTCAAGATTAATATCTGTTCTACATTTCAAAGAAGAAATATTTTTTTTATATTTTTAGGATAACTTTTGTGCAAAATAAAAAGTATAATGAAATATGCGCAACAGAAATAAATGGAAAATTAGAAGTCTATGATTACATAATATATCCCAATGATTCTCCAGAGTAAGGAATTTATTCAATTATAAGAGTTGAAGTCTAATGTATTTATCAAAAATAATTCTAAATATTACAGAGGTATGTTAAATAATATAATTGAATGGTTTCAAGTTGCCTTGCAATGCGATCCAAAACAAAGAGGCAAATGTCAAAATTCCGATGAAGTAGTTATATTTCCTGCATTAAACAAAATTTTACCAACCAGGGTAAGAAAGAGTATAATCAAATATAATCAATAAGTAATAATTAAATTTTACAGAAGAATGTCAAAATATTAAATAGTTCATATGTTGATTTATATTATTAATTTCAAGTCGTTAATCATTTATAACCGAATAATAAATAATAATATTATTACCTACATTTTACCTTATTTTCTATAGATTGTGTATATATTTTCATTATCTTCGTATCGAATTGATAAGTGTAATATCAGCAGTGGTATGACTCTTATGGAACTACAACAATGGATAGAGCAAACAATTTCTATTCCAATTGGTGAACAAATAATTGCAGATATAACAGGATATGTGCTCAATAGTATAGAAGATTCTATAAAATTACCTATAAGACCAATTCCTAATTCAATATTATATGTATACAAAATTGATTCTTTAGAAATAATAGATATGGATAGTGATTTTAAATTACCTAAGATTCTTGATATTATGTTAATTGAACCAGCAGTAATCAATGATCATTCATTATTACGACAATGTTACACAGCAATTATTTATTTAATGAAACGCGAGCTTCAGTTGTTTAAACATTATATATTTGCTTTAAGCACAAAATTGTAAGCAATTAAAAATCTCATCTTATTCAACTTTTATATAAAATATTCTTCATCGTATGGATATTAATTGTATTACTTCATTTCAGAGATATACTTACTAAAAAATTAATTACTTTAAATAAAATAATCGAAACAAGCTTACCCAATATCAAATTACTTTTAAAACATGTAAATACATTTTTAGAATTAACAAAAATTAACAATATACTTGAAGAGAAAAGAGATTTAACCAATGAATTATATATTAAAATTCAAACGCTTTATAAAGCTTTTAATGACATGATCATTGAAGTAGAAATTATACAACATTTTAATAATCAAAGCAAAGAGAAGTTTGATAATGGAAAATTATTATATAATTATCAAAAATATTCAGAAATGTAATGTATTGTTTTATTTCTTGAAATTTAATTTAATTCAGTTCCATAATAATGTTATTTATTCAAATATATATAATCTTTATTTAGGTACGATGATTTTTTAAATATGTATTCTATATTTCAAAATAATAAAGCTACGTGTAGCTCTGATTATATTAACAATCAAGTTAAGATATTATCAGAAAGTTTCAGTAAATTCGAAGAACAAAAAACAAAACAGCTTCACGATTCTGAAATAACTACAATTACAAAGTAATCAATACTAATTAATTTAGAGTAATTAATACGCTTACAGTGTGAGTCATAAACATTTTTTCTAGGTATTTACGTTGCTCTATGATGAAATTGCAATCACTTTATGAAATACTTAATTCAGCCATAGAATTAATACAAATTTATTCAAACAAATTTTCTAAAATAATGGAGATGTCTCATTCATTTCCACATTATGTTTCTTGTAGTGCAGCAACATTTGATAATAATACAACTAATAGTGGCTTAAGTTCTATCACAAATGACGATGCCGAAATTAAGGATAACATAATATTACGTTCTTTGTATGATAAATTTTGTTAATTTTAAACATAATTTACTATTCAGCAATTAAAATTTGAAAGTATTAATTAAATTTTTAATTTACAGATTAGACAAATATATACAAGATATTCAGGACAATTGGTCTAAAATCAGTTTATAAAAAGCTCGATGTTCTCAAAATTTATTCAACTAAGGCATTTAGTAAATAAATATCAATATAAAATATTGTTGTATGATATCGAAGATATACCATTACAATTCATGTAATCTGTTATTATTATTACTTTTATTCGATGTCAATTTAAAAATTTGTTTAAAATTATCAAACTATTTATTATCTATCATAAAAAGTTAGAAGTTTGCGAAATTTATTTACAATCATATTCTTTAAGCAAAATACGTACTAGCATTTGTTTAAATTGTAAGAGTATGTGATATGTATAAAAAAGTGTTATACGATTAAAAAAAATTAACATTGTACATATATAATGTAATGGCTAAATAGTACTATGTAAGAAGAAGAAAAAAACTATTGTTTTCTAATCAATTTAATGTACAAATTATATTATCTCCTTAGCAATGAAATTTCTTATTATGTTAACGAATTAAAAATAACGATTGTTAATTATTATCTATGTTTTAGTACAAATATTATTTTTTAAATAGTTAAATATACATGTGTAAGTAAAGTAAATATTTTATTTTTTGTGATAAATATGTATACAATTACGATTTGTAATACAATTTGTCTCGTATGAACTTTCTTCTTGGAATGTAATGTCTAACTCCCCATTTTATATTAGCTTGCTTATCAGTTTTAACAAAAGAATATACTGGACCATTAAAACCAACATTAGTGAATTTTGTTTTCTGCTCTGCATTAGAAGCTATAAAAAATCACGTAGTATATTAAATATTTTATATAGCTCGTTATTATTGATAAATCTTCAATTGAAATTTGTACTTACATTGTGATAAATCAACAAAGAATGCAACCAACAAACAACATATCATTAAAGAATTTATTACATTCATTTTAACAGTATTATGAGCTGTTTTTCGTGGTTAAAGTAGAAATTGTTAGACGGTAGATCGGAAACTAAATGATTTTTACGTCTTGGATTGGTAAAACCGTAAGAACTGTCACGCTTGATTTAATACTAAAGGTCTACAACTATCTTAGTAACTTTCTCTTTTTGATCAAAGAAGGTCATTTTTTGTGTTATGGAAAAAAATTTAGTGAAAGCTGATTAGAAGTTTATCTGGAATTTAAAAACATAACATTTTATCCGTCTTTCAATAATAATTTTCTTATGTTTTATTATTTAATATTTATAATAAATTGGTACGTTTAGTTTACAATATGATAAAATAATAATAAGCAATTAAAATAAAAATACTTCAACGATATAAGTTTATTAAAATAAATATTAAGCTAATAAAATATTGTGTAAAGAAAACTTCAAGATATAAACATTATATTATAAAATATGTGCAAGAATAAATTTATTTTAATTAACATTAGACATTGCATACTTAAACATATAGACAATTCCATTTTATTAAAAAGGTGTATACATGTTCTCCAAAAAATTAATAATTAACAATGTAAAATAAATATCGTACTCTTATATTCACTGTGCATGATGCTTCATTTTGTTGAAAAACTTCACTTATTATATCATTCACCTAGTACGTTACAATGCTCACATGAACTCTATATACTATATATTTTCATATACAAAACACCCGTTCCCTCCTTATCATATTTCATTACTTTCTCATTTGTTTTATCTCTGCTTAATAATTATTCTTTTCTTTCATTTTCGTTAATTAAAAATAAAATCCATCAGGTTCACAATGATAATTGCGCGGTGCATAGATGCACATTGCCTGTATTTTTTTACTTCATTTGACACAATAAGTGTTCATTCGTTATCACTGATATCTTCATCAGTCGTGAACTCGGAATGTTCATCGGCGGCATCGACTTCTTCTTCTGTCTCTTCGTCAGACATTTCCCATTGTGGATGATCGGTAGGAATGGCTGCAGCCTCCTTTACATCCAGCTATTCAAAGAATCGTTAAACTTTTAAATTTTTCGAATAAAATGTGTAAACTCGTTAATATTAAATAATATTAATTTATAAAAAAATAATCCTTATGAAATATTTCTTTAAATGCAACTGTTTAAACGTAACGATTTCTCCCCCCCCCCACTCTCCCAAACGATGTTCCATTGAACAAATAGATTATTACAACGAACATTATTAACAGATAATAATGAGAATAATAATTCAAATTTTTTTTTTTTTTTTTAACGAGCAAAACAATGTTTTAAAGTTCAATTGTTTCCATTCTTACAGTCGCAATATTCTGCAATAATACCAGTTTTTGGTAAAACGTAACATAGGTAAAATTGTCAGAAATTATCTTAATTGAAAGGCAATTTTCAATATAAGAGATTTAACATTTGTATTTGGTGATAGACGAACATTAAAGCTTTAATAGCATTTATCTCGCGTTTAGCCTCACGATAATTTCATCAACGAGCCCAATGGAATTTACTGATAAAAATTTTACAGAGTCAGCCAATGGTAGTAAAAACAAGATTCATAAATATTTTTAAACAATAATTTCAACTTAAAGATAAAATTCTTATAAATGATAAGACAAGCATCCTCATAGATGACAATAGCTTACTTTAATATCGTGTAGTTGATCAAAACCCAAATATGAATCGCTGCGTAGACAGACGGTAAAAGTATAAATGTTAGGCCAAAGAGGCGCGGTGAAACGTAATTGGAATTCCTCGGTGTCGATGAGCGAAGTAACGTGAATTGGCGCCGTGAGGAGGGTTAAGCTCTTACGGTCGCAAATATAAATCCACCAGTACTCCTGCTTGACATCGGGGAAATAAGGCGAGTGTACTAAATGAGAGTAATTACTGCGACCATCGAGCAATCGGTCGCGCTTCGATAAACGCTGTTGAAACTTATTCCACTCGGTGTCGTCGTCTTCGCCGACTTCCGATTCTTGTTGTTTCTTTGTACTCTCGTGCGAGCTGTTATCATCGTCGCTGCTATCGCTTTTGTGCGCCTCGCTTTCGCTCGCGTCTGAATCTACATTAGAAAGACCTTGCATGTCATTCAATATTTTAATGTAAAAATCCTGCCATTTTAATAATTTAAATGTGATTATAATGCTTTGCACGCTTACAAATTTCGCAATGATTTTAAGCTAAGCTAAGCTGAAAGAGAGTTTGCATTATACGTTTCATTCTACTTTACCATGTGTTTTGTCATCAATAAATATACGACATAAGTATACGAATATTTCAAACCATTTATTTTTTCTTTGATATTATCCTTATTGGACTCCTTATCTTTCTTCGATTTTGGAGACGAATTAGTGTGCTGACTAGATAAACCATTATCACCAGCGGCTATGGTGGTCGTGGTTGTTTTAGGAGGGGCTCCTTTTTTATTTGATCCTTTTTTACTATGCGATTTCTTTTGAACTTTTCGCTGTCTTAACCACGCAGGCCTTTTGGTGACCGTTTGATTTTGATCATCAGCTACTTCCTCTTTATCTGCCTCAGTTTTAGATTCTTCAATCAATGTCTTCTCCTTAATTGTATCATCGCCAAATAAATGCGCCATATCTGTACGTGTAAGAGTTACTGTTACAGTTACAATAGCACCCGCTGTGTATACAGTAGAATTTTCGTCGTCGATTACTAAAAGAAACATTTTCATATATCTGTTTTTTATTTTGAAAAATTGTATACCCTTTTTCTTAAGATAATTATTACAAATTAATATCAACTAATTTCAATACCTTCTGATCGAACTTTAAAATCGATAAAAGGCATGTTTCCTAAGACTTTCATTACATCATCGAATTGACTATCTGACAAGCCCCGTAAAATTGATCTTCGATCTTCACGCTTTAGTTGAGCGTATTCCTGAAGGCTTTTCACCTAAAATAAATGTTAATATGCAACTTGTAAATTTTATGATAACATAATAGGTCGCTATTAAAATTTTATTCTAAAAAAACCTTCTTGGCCTTAAAATATTTAAGATGATCTTCCGTGATATGAGGTAGTTGTAACAAAGGATTTTTAAATTCCCAAAATGCTTGTACAATCATAGGACAAAGTCTCATACAATTTTCAATTGTTGTTATAGTTGGCAAGTGTTGAACTAAAAATTGAATAAATATTCTCATAATATTGGTAGTTGATAGTAGATACGTTATACAATTAATTTTCATACAGACCTTGCCTAGCATAAGCTAATACAATTAATTGATTTACACAGGAAATCATTTCCTGTATTAAATATGGACATTTTTTTACAATATACTGTCTATCCTTCTCCAATGTATCTGGATTCAATATCATACGTGATAAATGAGCGTGTATTAAAGCTCTTGCTTTAATAGAATACATTAGACACAATGGATACTCTTTGTTTTTTTCCCCTAAATTCGGCAACTGTCTAATTAACTGTGTAGAATAATTTTAAAATTGAGTCAATCCATCGAATCGTGAGACACATTTAATTTAAAACATTAAATTATACATACTGCAGGTACTTCTTCATTGTCCGATAACCTTTCAATAATATCTGTATTATATTTTTTTTCAAACTCAAACGAGGCTCCAAGAACCATAATTATTCTTTTTAATGTCATTGTTGGAGTATTGTGGAAGAAAGCATAGTACATTTTGGTCGTAGCTAATAAAACCTGAAACATGAAGAATTATTGGTACCGATGGATACGTCACCTACAGACGTAAATATTAATGGCAGATTTAATAATAATTTAAACAAACTACATTACTTGATCACCAGTGTAACGTATACTTCTGTACCACCACATTCCTACGACGGTCGGTAGAGCTAACATAAATACAAGGGCATAGGCACCTAAGACCCACATTGAATTTTCCTTTTCAACAATCCACGATGGCAGTGCTATGCCAAAACCCATAGCACCCGGTCCATCGGGATTGCCGTATTTCTCCCAATTTGACATCGCTTCTTTATCAGTCAATGCTTGATAAGCTAAAGTGACACAACAGATTTCATTATTGTAATCGATTAAATTAAATATAACGTTTTATAATATATATCAACTGTATCTTTTACTTGTGTATTTTTTTTATTAACACAGCATCACCTCACCTTTTGTTAGTCTCATAAATGCTTTCTCATTACCAGTTTCTTTATCGGGATGAAGAATTAAAGAAAGCTGCCTGTAAGCTTTTTTGATTGCCCCAGCCGAAGAACTCTGTAACGATATTACATTATTAATTATAAATAAATAAATAAATGAAAATAATAAATAATACAAAATCGTTGTTAAAAATTTCTATATAATTCTATTTAATAGTTAATCAGATGAGCGATTACGCGTCTAATTATGCATTGAAGATTGTATTTTAATATAACACTACATTAAATTCATCGTTAACAGTGATATTAAATTTTATTATTGACTTAATAAAACATTGCTAAGATACGATTGTCCCAGCAAGCGACAATTATGATACTATTTATTAAAATAATTTTTATTTATAGGGAATAAAATGTTTACTTACGGGTGAAACACCCAATATTTCATAAGGATCAAAATTGGTCATTTCATAATCGAATTGCGAAACTTTATACGCAAGGAAGGCAAGTAACGCCCATCCACACATAATAAGAAATTTCCTATAAAATTGAACATAATCGAGCACCATTAATTAATAACGATAAACAATAATAAATAAAGCATTGGAGAAAAAAAAATAAATAAATAAATAAATAAAAATAACGCAATACATTGCCTTACCTAAAAAGTGCCTTCGTTTCTTTCCAAGGATCATTTTTTTGGAGAATAACTTTTTTCTTTTTACACCCATCGCAGTGGCATTCCTTTACTATCTGATTCGGATCTGGTGAGCAAAAATCAACATTACAATTCTCTATCCACACTGCTTTATAATTTAAGAAATTCGTCAATTTCGAAAATAAACACTCGATATTCTTATAACTCAGCTGTTATTCTGTTTTGCTTACACCCAACGAGCAACATAACCCATAACGCGGAATATGATTAAGCACTCGCATTACTTTTCGCGAATGATCGATCAATCCGTAGTATTGGCATTGGCAAAATGATACGAAAAACATATTTACATTGGAAAAGTTATAAAAGCAACATCGCTTACCTGGCTTCGGGCAACGTGGCCACAAATAAAATGTACTTGGGACGAGAAGCAGTGCCAAGAAGGATAACAAGAAATAGAAAAACGTCCCTCCGCTCTCGTCATACTGAAATTTTTGACCGCTCATTGCTCATTAAGTACTATCGTTTATAACGGACGCGTAGCTGCAATTAAGTACAATTCATTAAAGGTCGCTTGAACTTCCGCCACTTTAACTCGCCTCTTTCCCCAGCTTACACGCGAACACGGGTACAACAGAGCGAGAGAGACTTGTCACCGCGAATATTGCCAATCAGCAACACAGCTCGGACGTTGCAGGAACGTCGTCGTCGCATGCGCAATAGAACACCCAATAAGTTTGTCACCTGCAGCGACGACTCGAGCGCCCGAGCCAATAAACTTGGAGATGCCACGGCGCATGCGACGACGATGACGACGACGACGACGACGACGACGACGACGACGACGACGACGACGACGACGACGACGACGACGACGTGCATGGGCGAGTTAGCGGCATCGTTGCCAACTCACCTCGTCGACAGCTTTTCTCCTTTCCGTTATGCCACATTGCCATAATTTAAAAATCCCGTGTACATATTCTCTACACGTGTGCTTGGCCGGGCAGGTAGGCAGAGAGAGAGAGAGAGAGAGAGAGAGAGAGAGAGAGACCCGTACTTTTCGAGATAATGATCGACAAGACATACGACAAGTTCTCCGAGGCGAGTGGGTGAGCGAGAGAGCTGATAATTATTATAACAAGTCGAATGTCGGCGGGACGAAGTGCGGCGGCAAAGCAAAAGTATAATGGCTTTAGTGTATAAGGAGTTCAAAGTGGTATTTATACGAGAGAGAGAGGAAAATAATCAAGCGGAGATACGCTTTCACCATCTTCCTGCACTCAAAGAATACAGGCTTATTGGTTTGATTTTTTTTTTCTTTCTTTTTTTTGTTTTTTTTTTTTATTTTCTTCTTTTTTTCTTTGTAATATTATTTATAAATTTGTCTCAATACTTTTACGTGAAACGAGGTTTCTTAAGTGATCTCGCAAGTTATTAAAACGCAAAAAGTACCGAAGCATTTTAAAAATCATAGCATTATATATTCTTTGTTTATTCATATTTTACACTTTGTATGAGTCGATAAAAATAAAATAAATAATTATTACTTACCATTTCTTCTCTCTCTATATTTCGTAAAATTTTTAATCCTAAAAAGAAACGCTAATCACATGGTTTTTCTTAAATCGAAGATAATAAAAAGAAAAAAAAAAGGTGGTCGCTAATAAGTTTTTGTACTAGAAGTATATTATTACCTCGTGTGGATATTAGATGAGCCGATTCCGTGAATCGTTAGGAGCCAAGAAAAACCGTTAGAAAACGGAGAGGAATAAAGAAATAGTGTATACGTAGTTATGAATATGACAAAAGGAATTCCATTAAACAAGAGTTTTAAGAAAATCGGGTGTTACGAAGCGAAAGTAAGGAACGAGATTTAATCGTCAAACGCATGGCTTTTTCTAATACTAAAGTTATAAATACAAATATGCATTTTTATTAAAGAAATGAGTAATATTTATAACATCATTTTTTTGTAAAAATTTGCTGGAAAAAGAGATGTTTCGTTGTTGTTGTTGTTGTTGTTGTTATTGTTGAAATTAACGAGGTAATTAACGATTCTATTTATTATTATATTATTTCTATTATATTATCTCATTACAATAAATTCTCTAATAAATACAAATTTTATATATTAGAGTTAAAAATGCACTCTTCGAATAAATCGAATATAGATTCTAATATTTAATTGTATACGATTTATTCAATCAAATTATAGCGTGACACGTTATCAATATTATAATAATAAAAAGAAAACTTGACTTTTTCCATTGCAAAATAATAAACTCGATAAATTAATCTTTCAAACTATTAAGTAGAAGAATTTTTATAATAAATATATTCAAATTTTCAAATTGACAACAATTACTAACAATCTTTAATGACGACTAGTTTGCTTTGTTTATACAAAAACTAAGAGCATTTGACGAATTCGTTGGTTTCGCTTAAATAACACGCATAATAATAACAGTATAACCAGCGGATATACTAAAATGAGATAATGTGTATTTGAAAAAGGATAAAATCAAGTTAGTTAAGTTATAAAGCAATAATATAATGCCAAAATTGCAGCAAAGCGCAACGATTTATCATCGAAGTATTATAAGTCAGAATGTCGGCACAAATTCTGTTTTAGAAGTAAATCAACGTCACATTAGCCAAAGGATTACCTGGTAAAACAAGTCAAGACGACATATTTTATCAAATTTAACCGTATACGTGCTATAGCTGATGGTACTCTGATGAGTAATTGAACAGCGGGATTATCATAATATTTTAGAAAATATATAATACAGATATAACAGATCGATATTGAAAACTAGAAACGTATTTTCCATCCTATGTTATGTGAAATAAAATTATGGTAAATTTCAGAATTCTTTGTCACGATGATATCTTATATAAATATTATAAGAAGCAAATGTAAGGATATTCGTAAATAGAAAGAGTAATATCTTGTTAATTTATAATATCATCAGGTAAATATCAATATATATATATATATATACGCACACACACACAGAAATGTCAAAATTAATTGAAAAGTTAGTAATTTGAAAAAGTAGATTAAAATTAAAAAAGCTGAAAAAAATGTAATAAATAGTATCGATAAGAATTATTTATGTTTTGTATAACTATGTAAAATAAGAGAAAAAGTTAATGAATTAAATAACTACCAAAAAAAAAAAAAAAAAACATTAGTAGATTCCAAGAATAATGCCAAAAGACGACTCAATAAATGTTCCAAAAGATCTATATTAATTTATTTGAAGGAAACAGAGGATCTAAATTTAAATAAAAATGCAAATCAAAAACATGTAAATTATAAAAACTAAAAATGCAATACAAAATTGGTAATTCCGATCATTGTGCCGGCCATGTCAATGACCATACAGATAACGTTACACTTTATATAAATGTGCAGTTATCCTTATTTGATAATCACATTTGAAATATCGCATAAAACTATTAATGTTCAGATTATTTCGGATATATTGGAACGAACTAGTGACCTATTTGCAAATGTACATTAACGTATTTTGTATTCTACGTTGTATATGTCACGAGATCGTAGAGTAGTTAAATTAAACGTTATTATTGACTTTGCATTTGGCTCAGACAGCCGAAGTATCATAACGGGAGAGTTGTGTGACCTTTGTATGCACTATAGTACAAGTAAAGTCGTATAATGAGAATTTACACCACTAATACTCATGATTATGAAAATCTAAGTTATAATCCATCATTAGTGAGATCGATGAAAGGGCGTTAACGAATGCATTCAACTTTGTATGTGATTATTGACGAAATAAATATCGATAAAAATGCTGATTTCGATAGGAAGACCGAGGCTTAGCATTATAAGTTGTATAATATAGAGAAATAATTTTATTAAAAAAAAAAAAAAAAAAAAAAACATTTCAAAGTCACTTATTTCATGTCAATTCAATCAAATAAGTGTTGAAATATTTAAATAAAAACATCAGAAATATTTAAATTTATGGTATTGTACGATAGTAATATAAGTGAAGAATATAAAAGCTACAAAAACAAATGAAGGGGATAAATAATACAATAAAAGTCGAAGTATAAAAAGAGAAAAAGTAAACAATGTTTGAAAAAAAATTTTGAATTTTTGAATAAAATTTTTTAATAATATCTCATATAGAATTTCAATTTTACATTTAACATTAATCTTGACAAGTTGAAAGTGGGCTCCGTTACATAAATGTATCTTTATTAAATGTGTTTACTTCTTGCATATAATTTATGCTGTAACAGATTTTATTCTTATCTCTTTCTTTGACCTTCGTTAATCAATAGAATTTTTCACAGCAACGTGTAACGATTAACATTAAAATTTCACGTTTTTTATTAACGCAATCATTATCATTGTTTTTCATTTTTAAATTCATAAAAATTACTTAAAATTTATTTGTTTTTTATATCTTTTTAATTAAATGTTAACGTTTCTATAACATTACGTATGTATATATACATTACATGCAGTGTCGCGTTATAATTTTTTTGTCAAATAAGTACGCGATAAAATAGATATAATCGAAATATTTTATATATTTTAAAATACTACATCGATATATTGATTGCTTCGTTGTTAATTGTTTCTCCAAAATTCTCCAATGGCTCGGAAAATGTAAAAATTAGTCCAAGCGCTACATGATGCAACAACACATTATACAAACTTGCAGAATTATTAGATAGGAATTTAACATAACGACGCGTCGATTGACGTATAAACGAATGGACTCATTGCCGCCAAGTATTTTTAGACTAAATGAAGTAGCAATATTGTTGAATAACGGAATGTGTAATAATGCTTCGAGGCCATTAGTACATTCAGATTTATTAAAGAAATGTTTGTCTAAATACGGTACAATCAATCATTCGATTCAAGTAAGATTTAATTTTTTCTTGAAATCATTTCCTGATACATTCAACAATAATTTACACGATTTCATTATTATGCATATCTTCGGTATAAATTTAGTGAATATATATTTATAACTGGAACTTATATTTTTTAATCTCATACTTTCCTTCATTCAATTCATTATTCAAATATTCAAATTTAAACAAGTATACTGCAAACGATATTAATAAAACGTTAGCATTAAAAAATTCATTTTTTTTTAATTTTACGAGATTGTAATTTTGTCATAAAATGAAAAGTAATTAATGTCGATTTGCCTTGTAACGTCTATTATAACAACCTACTATACATATCTGCGGATATACATTTCTATCTATTAAATTAATTTTAAAAATTGAAAGAACTATTTTTTTAATCGACTAATATTAAAAATAATATTTATCAATGTACAATGTTATCATTATACATTATAGTTAATGTTTTTTTTTTTTATATAAGTCGATTAAATAAATGTGAACATATATATGTCTATCTTCACAAATGTTTTTCCAATGAAGAATTTATATATGCTGTGTAGTATAATTTTACGAATAACTATAGTCTTCGTTATGCTAGTTTATTACAATTCTCGTATACTTTAATGTGTACTTTCTATGTTACGAATAGTAAAACATACATAAAATACATGGCCATTATAAATCTACTATTTTCTTATATTTTATAAGTGGCTGTGTACGAGAAGTACCAGAAAATATTAGATTGTACATGGTAGCTAATATAAATAAATAAATAAATATATATATATATATATATATATATATATATATATATATG